TTATTTTTTTTTATATTTTATTTACTTTAAAACAAATTTGTGACTTACCAAAAAAAATTTCTTGGCAGCAGATCTAGGCATTCCTTGTTGTGACTGTATGTATCATACTACATTACAAACTATTTTGTTTTATTGAATTCTACTCTAATCCGTAATGAAATAACAAAATCCATATCGAAGAAAGCAGTGTTAGTATCTTGTTTTACGGAACGATTATATCAAATCGATGCGTGATAGAAAACGGAACCACGTTTGCATGATAACAAGAAATAAAAATGCGTAAAATGAAATATAAAAATATATTTCAAAAATTTTGAATCAAATTAAGTTTTCGCAAATATAATCACATTTTCGCAAAAATCTATTTCTAGCCAATATTCTTGCCTAACCCATTTTAACACAACATTTTGACATAAATTTTGAGGTTATTTTATAGATGAAGTAGTGATATATTATAATACTTAAGCAATTTGAATGAAGCACTATTTAAAGCAAGATATTAAGGGCTCTTTGACTGCGTTTTTTAAGGAATATTTTTTATTAATAGGTTGTAAATTTGGTAATGTCTGAAATGAACTCTTTCTTCATTATCCATTATTAACATTTTTTGTCGCTTCTTGAACCAACGAGCTTCTGTTATTAATTTTTCTGAAGTTGTTATAAATATGAATCTTCGCTAATATAAGTCAGTATAAATAAAAGTTGAATCACAACTTTCCTAGACATAATGTGTATATTTAACAATCATACAAAGTAGTTAATTTATTTAATTATTTTTATTTCGTTTAGTTAATTAAAAGTAATTATTTAACTTAACTCAGGTTTATATTAAAAATTTTTAGTAAAAATAAATTCATGAAATAAGTATAATATATTAATTTGTTATCGTAGAAAAAAGACAATAACAAGAACTGTGAGTTAATGAGAAAAACTTGCTGTTACTCCATATATATTGTGTTTTTTTTACAGCAGAATAAAATATATTATTATTATTTAATAACTGATACTTAAACATGTGAACGGATTTCTTAAAATCGGTCCATCTTAAATGCTGATAAAGCAATCGTTTGTATGGTCTCCGATGTATTCCTCATCGTTTTACAAACACCTTAGCAAAACCTAAAATCTTCTATACTGACAAATAGTTAGATAAACATATCACATAAAAAGAGCAAAGAGTTTCAAACAAAATATTTCTAGTCGTTGATAATAACAACAGTAACAACTAACCAACTAACCCATTGAACTGAAAAAATAATATATATAAATTATTTTAAAGTAATGATACATATATTCGTTTCAGTTTATAATGTTTATTTTATAGAAAAGCTACTTGATTGGTCAAGTTGGCACCTTCACTATCAATCACTTGGGAAATTTCTCTAAATCCAAAAAGTCGACTTTAGAGCTTCCATTACAGTCTTTTTAAAGCAACTCATATTAAAATTCGTGGTTAAATGGTATAAAATAAAAATATGTTCTTAATATTAGTCACTAGAATAGATTTAAAACTATTTGGTATTTTTTCACAAGTTTAGACATTTAGAGAACAACTAAAATAAATTTCAAGTTTAGTATCTACTATTACAATACATATAATAATAAATCAACGTTTTATTAATTATTATCATAATTATATCTTTTATCGTGTATATATATATATATCTTATATTTATTTATTCGAAAGATTACTTTCAGAATACAGGTACTATGGATTGAATTCATATATTTTCTAACTTTAAGCTCAGAGTCTCTCTCGTTTTTCAGTCAGCTGATTCAAAGCCAAGTTCGATTCGTGGTGTACTAATCTTTAGTTTTCTTAATTTATTGTTAATACTTAATAAGAAATTCAATTGCTATATTATATTCAAACAAAAGCATAAATCACTGCTACACATATTTGAAATCAATAACTATAGTTTTTATTGTTAGATTTCAATACTCTTATTTTTGTATAAACATTATTTGCAATCCTTATTTTTATTTTCTTTATGCACATTTCTCTATTTGTGAGATTTTTATCACATAGGCTTTATACTAGTATTATTCCATAATTACTTTAACCGACAGACAAGCTAAAACATTCATGCCGAATCGATCAAAAGCTGAAATAGAGAGGTTCTAATGCTGAACAGAAAAAGCAACCGACTTGTTATAGGGTTTCTCACTGCGGTTCGCATTACAGTGTTAAAAAAGCATTTATCGAACCTAGGTATTACAAGAGAAGGAGAAAACAGCAGAACACATTATGTGTCACTGTGATAGTCTTGCTAGATTCAGACTTCGGTACTAATCAACTGCCTATTCACTTATACCGGAATTAGGCAACATCTCTCCAAAGGACATAATGTCATTTTTAATTGCTACTCGCCTATGGAACTAAAGTGGGTTTGTCACAATAATGCTCAGAGAAAACAGTGAAGTGGTGACAAGTTCCTAACTCTTGAAAAATCTAATCTACTTTAACCGAGTCAAAAAACGTTTCTTTTACAAGTCTAGTACGACTTCTGATCAGTGCAGAAATAAATCTGAAGTCAGTAGAATTCAAGTTCAGACATTGGTAGTTACAAACTTAAAAATTAATGTCAAAAAATTGAATACAGAAATATTTCCAAAAGACCACTAAAGACGTTTAGCTGGTAATATTAGAAACAGCTCTATAGCCAACTAAAAATTTAATTGATTAATAAATAACGCTTTGTTGATGTAGTTCTTTGCTATTCAGAAATTCTTCTTTGCTATTCAGAAATAGTTATATCTGACTCTCTCTTTAGTTATATCTGACTTGGAATGAATTTTAATAAAAATATCGAAATGAAAATAATATACTTAATAAAATTATATACTTTCCCTTAATAATCAAATTTGTTTAAATTAAGTGTAAAACACAATTTGTTTAAATTATGTTTTTATATTTTTTCTAAATGAATTCATTATTCCAAAAACTGTTTAAAATAATGAAACTCATAAAACGGATGTCAAAATATTTTATAAATGAGACAGATTTGGAATGTCCTTTACACATCACATGTACTTTATTTTAAAACTTATGTGAAGTGTCTGTCTGTCAAAAGTTTTTTACTTTCGTTAAATATTAACAAAATCATTTTAGTTAAGCATTTTGTACTCAAAATCGTTTTATCATTGAAGGAGCGTAGTTAAATAGATTTATGTGGGTTGATAATCCATATCCCTTTACAAAAATATCTGTAATGATTTTTTATCAAACTTAGTATCAGACACGAAAAAGTGTAATAATGATTTTAGACTAGTTCGATATGATTTTATTACTGTGGCACTGCGTCTCTTTGTCTGCTGTGACGTACCCAACGTAATTAATGGTCCATATTTCCACGCTATATTGACATAATCACAAAATATAATGACACCAATTTATTTAATAAAAGCGAAAGCTGGAAGCTTTTATATTAATGAAATTTGTGATGTGTCGATTTTATGATCAACGACGTAATTTTGTGTTTTCTGTTCTACACACACTTAACATTGACGATAAGGACTAAGCTTTTCATATAGGCAGCACTTGGAAACATTGGCAATTAGCCAATGGGAAAGTCCTTTTACGTTAACTAAAATGTAAACTAACAGAATAGGATGTGCTCTGTTTTGATTTTGTCTTAGTTTCGATACAAACTTTATAAAATTTAAAAAATAATTTTAAACTTAATTAAAGAAAATTGCAACAACTTTTTATTGGACTATGGTCTCTATGTGGTCAAAATATGTAGCTATTAAATGCAAACCAAGTAAATTTGTCAATATTAGGTTTAATATGTCAGCATTTCGGTTGCAGAATAGATTAAATCTACACTTAAGATTACGAAGTATATATGTATACTTTTATTCATAAGTTTGTTTACGAACTCATTCCATACAGAACTTACATTCGATATGAGCCCTTTTTTAATTTAAATTAACTAATAGAGTTAAATTTAAAGAGAAAACAGTTTTAGTTAACTTTCCGAACTCATATTTATCCTACTTCTTTTCTTTGAGACCGATAACTAGCCATAACAACCGATTATTAAGTTTCGCCTTCTTAAATATCATGCATCAAGTGCAGTTAGTCTCTCAACTTTCTTTCTTGTTGGAGTTTCATCATCCATTCTCATAACAAAGTCAAGCCCGCTAGCCACTGGAAGTTAGTTCGTTAATTTGTATCAATGTCGTGATTAAACTCGTACAGTTCGTGGTTCATTTGGGTGCGACAGTTGTCATCAACTCATAGGTGTCCAAAAATTTAACGATGAACTCTAAAAACCTCTCAGTGATGCTTCATGATCCTGCGATAGTGTTTATGCTTCTGCGCCATACAGAAACACAAATTGTATGAATGACAGATAAGCACATAATATATGACTTAATGACAATGGCCAAATCTCTAGGTTGTCATATGATTTATATTTACTAGCAAATTTAAAAAATTGTTCAATTTTAATTAATCGGGTACGCCCATTTGACGACGGATTCTATTAAAGGTAGCTTTTCTGAACAAGGTATACTGAATGTGGCTATATAAATTAGTTCTTCAGATAAAAGCTATTAAAGTTAGAAAGTGTTATACTTAATTTAAAAATAAATTAGCTTTGGATGCTAGTTTTTAAACTCTGAATCTAGACTAGACTCAAAGGATTTTTGCATACACTCATGGGAATAAAAATTTTTATTCCCAAACAAATTTTCAAAATCTGGTTAGCGTAGATATCAAGTTAGTGTAATCGTTGTTAACCTCATATTAACCTCAATTATTCGATAAGCAATATTTGCACACGACAAAGTGGGAAAATTTACTTAAAATAGCTTACTCTACTGTAATCGTTTATCAAAGTGGGACTAGTGCGGGAAATCGATCTCGTGCCAAAGATATTAATATCATTTTGTGTCAGAACATCTGTATACCTAAATATACATGGATGTATATATTTTCTTTCATTTTGTTAACAAAACAAGAATCATGTATTGATTTTGTGTTACATTTACAGGTCGAATACATTATTCCGACGACTTGCCTGGCTGCAGTGAATTGATTTATGAAAATACTAAAGATTCAAGAAACAATACACCTATTGATACGCCCCACGGTTCACCAAAGCCTACACAACGACTGATCAGACATTTAAGTAAATCTGCTTCGGAATTAAATGGGCATGAAGTGCCACGTATAGTACCAAAACGTGCAAAAAGTGCTGTTGGCTCACATCCAAATACGAGCAGCGTAAGCGGGGGAGTTGGTGTTTTGCAAAAAACTCATGGCTTCTTCAACAATCTAAAACATCGTTGGAGTCGTGCAAAGAGCAAAGATCGAGTTGGACGCAAATCTCCAAGCGATTTTTTGGAAGAGAGCACAGATTATGCTGCTGACTATAGCTCAGAGAGCAGTTCAGTAACACAGAGTCCAAGACATCGAGCTACAACCATAGGGGGATCTCCACTGGCGAAAGAATTTCGCGCAACTGCCAAAATGGCACAAGTAATTCAACGTTTCGGCGGCTCTATGGAAGGTCGCATTGAAGAGCATCCAGAAAATGGTGCTGCCGGTAATGAAAATTATATGACCACTCAAGATCAATTGGATGCATTGCAGGTAATGAAGTTTATGAAGTATTTAATCTTTTTTCATCTAAAGTTACTTAAAATCATTTAGTGTTAATTGTTTAATAATTTAGTAATTTTTATTGTGAGTGTTAATGTGAGTAAATCGATTCAGTTTTTATAAACTGAAACATAACTTTCCTAACATTGTATATAAATAATTTATTGTAAGTAATAAGTTTTAATTTTTCAAATAATGGCATTATTTAATGAGTACAATCTTAAAATATTTAATTTAAAATAATTTTTATTTATATTTTTGTATTTTAATTTAATCTATATATGTCTAGTTTATATTCACAGTTCTTCAAAGCAGTATTTTGCTTATGAGTGAAATCACCAAGCACCTTAATTGCAATAATAATTTTGCAAGAACTGCTCCATTTATTTTATTAGATATAGTGAAAGACTATCTAAATGTGGACTTTTAATATACTTTGCTAATACATATTAGTTTACTCACACTAAATGCTGCATCACATGAGAAAATGAGAATTTAGTAACTAGTAAATTGCATGAAAGCAGTAGAAAATGTGTCACTTTATCAAAAATTATTATACCAAAAGCTTTAAAAAATTTTATTAAATTTTTAAAAATTTCTAAATAAATTTAATTTTAATTAACAAATTTGGCTTTTGTTATTTTAATCGCAAATTCATCTCATCTACGATTTTTTCCTTTCCCTCTTGGCTTCTTTTTGAAATCAGGCTGACGACTTGCGTCGCAAAAAGGAAGCACAATTACGACAATATGTCTTCTTTCAGTTACGTGTTCATCTTAAGAGCGGCAATGATTTGGTGGCCATGGACAAAAACGGTACTTCACAATTCACTATTCACAAATCACATCCATAATTAATGCAATGTATTCCCTTTGAATTATTGTGTTTCACTGTAGGCTTGAGCGATCCTTATGTAAAATTCAAGGTTGGCGGTCGATTACTGTATAAATCACGTACAATACATCGTGACCTCAATCCAATTTGGGATGAAGTGTTCACCGTACCAATTGAGGATCCATTCCAGTCAATTATCGTCAAAGTAAGTACTTCGCAGTAATAAATTATTTCAAGAGGAAGTAGCGCATTTAATTAGAATAATTAATCTTCATTGCAAATGAGGTAATTATCAGGATCTTTAACTCATGGAAACGAGATAAAAACTTTTTATATTAAATTCTTTAAGGCAAAGAAAAAATCCTTTAAATTCCTAACAAGTTTAAAAGTTTGAGAAACATTTTCATGGCAAAAGTTGTTCGCAGTTTAGATTTAAATGCACCCAAGTGTATTTTACTTCATATAATTATGGATTTTATGAATTTCTTGTAATTCTTTTAATTTTTTATGTAAGACATTTTGTAAATATGTAAGTGTTTCTGTTAGTTAAAGTAGATAGAAGAAAAAAATATTGTAAATTAAAATCCTACAACTTTATTACGCAAAATGTGTCCAGATGGTATGGTCTCAAAAGACCCTAGATAAAGTTTTAGTTCCTATATTGAAAAGTTTAAATAAAATATTATAATTTAATGGTATTTAAAATTTCATTCATTAACTCAATATTTAAGTATCCAATAGAAAAAAAATGACATATAGCCAGCTAAAAAATAAACAAAAAATCATTAGGAAAGAAATACAGGTCAAGAAACAAATTTAAAGTTTGATATCCAATAGAACTTAAATGGATAACAGTAAATAGAAAAATTAAAATAAATTTTATATAAATTAAGGTAAATGACATGATTCGTATTTCTGCGATATCCCATTACGATATATGCCATTATACCGTAGTTTTTCAAGAACTGAAAAGTTTAAAATTTTTAAATAGTATATAATTATATGATATATAATAGTATATAATATGGCATGATTCATCTACGGCGTCCCGATTCAACAACGGCTTTAAATAGAGTCGTCTATTTCAAGCTATTTTTCCACTACGATATATGCCATTATACCGTAGTTAGATGGTGTCTGTAATTATTAAAAATTCAATAATTTTAAAATTCGATGTCTCGAATTTATGCTATATAAGCATAAGGCCAAGTTGAAAAATCCATTATTTAATTGGGACAGTCTAGAAATCGAAATTTAACTACGTAAACCCTATGATTTGACTAATGTATGTTACTATAACAACGGATTTAAGTTCGTTTACCTTTTCTGGATAAGTTTTTTCACTACGTTATATGTGAATACTCCTAAGTTTTAAGAATATAAAGCTTTAATGTTCGAAATATTTACCAGTAAATGGCACGTCTAGTTCATGTTACCACTTTTTTCATTATCAATGTAAAAATTGCATGTATTAGTGGGCATAAAATAGTGTTAGTAGTTTGTATTAGTGTAATCTTTACCAAAAGTTTAGAATTTTAAATCTTGATGTATTGAGAATTAAGCTATATTGATATATAACGTAATGGAAAAAGTTGATCAAAATAGATGAAGCTACTATTTCCGTTGTAATGAAAGTCGTACATGCCATGAAAGTCATGAAAGTCATAAAACCATAAAATGGTTTTAAGCATACAATAAATTTGTATGTTATGATGGTTCTTAACGACATATTGGTACCTAAGCAATATAAATTTCCCAATAGTTAATAGTCTTACAGTAAATACTAGCTCATACACTCATCGAAAGTTAGAACTATGCTTATACTCATTTAATTTACCATAAAACAGTAATTTGATTAATTTACTAAAAGTAAAAATAAACGCATTCAGTAGCATTGAACTATTAATATTCATATAATTGCGATTTTTTACTAGGAATATATTAAATGTTTAAATTTTAATGGTGTTTTCGATTGGTAAATATGCATTCAATATAAATTTACTATCGATCTATCAAATTTTGTTGCCCAATCGAACATTTTTGGAGCAATCCAACCCAATATTTTTGGCAGAATTGCTGGATATTTATATATTTCATAAATACTTGTATTGAATCAATTCACACTTTAAATGTGAAATCATATATATACATATATATGGTGTTATATATACATTTCGCTCAAGATTTACCAATCGAAAAAAGCATTAAAAGTGCATTAAAAATGCATCTCGATTGAAAAAATTACCCCATATTTACTTATCGAAAACGCCATAAATGTACTTTATTTCTTTATATATAATATAATAGTAACTTTTCAAGACAAATGGCCTTTGTGATTTTTAGCTCTCATTATTTTATAATTTTAAGTAAAAGTTTTATATGTAAAAAATAGTAAATTTTAATAGAGAAAAGCCAGTAGTACTATTGGCATTATTTCAACTTTCAACATAATAAATACCATTTTCACACTTCATAAAAAATATATAAAATCCTAAATTTACTCCTACTCATAATCTACCTCTCCACAAAGAAAAAGTTCACCATACCTAACCAAGTGAAACATTCACAAACACAATATTCTTTTATCTAACCAACAACAGGTCTTCGACTATGATTGGGGACTGCAGGATGACTTCATGGGTTCAGCCAAATTGGACTTAACACAATTAGAATTAGGCAAAGCGGAAGACATCAACTTACGTTTGTTTGACGAAAACCATCCTGAACGTCAGTTGGGCGAGATTCTATTGAATTTGACACTGTGGCCACGTAGTCAGGAAGACAAGGAAATTGTAAGTTTGATTGAGTTTAAGTTACCAACACTGTTCCCATTACATATTTAATTCTTATTTATTTTGTGTGTTGTATTTAACTCAGAGATATAGTATGGAAAATATTACTCGTCCTGGCAAAGGACTTTTGTTACTTTCGATTTTTATCTCTCCGTATTAAATATAGTTTTTTGTTCCAAGTTTGTTTTTTTTCTGTTTTTAACAATAACTTTTATATATTATTTTTTATATATTTTTTACTTCATTGACATTGAATATTTTATTTTCTTATTTATCTCAATGGAAATAATTTTGCATTTTAAAATAAAAAAAATTATCACTCTCATGGGTTGCAGAATTGCAAGGAAAAAGTAGAAATGTAATTTCCTTTTGGCGATTTTACATAAATAAATATATAATGAAGTAAACGGAAGAAATATTTTTCTTTCAAGAGCGTTTTTTATTTGACATCATTTAAAATTTAATAATAAAAATATATATTTGTTCTAAAATAAAAATAAATATTTGAGAAAGGTCAATATTTAATCCAACTTTCTTTAAAATATTCCGGACCTGTCATGACTTGTTTATATGCCATATATAAAATTATGTTTAATTTCATATTGGATATTTCTTATAAATGCTATAAATGCTAGAGTCGTCATATCTGTTGAATCTAACAACTGTTTAGTTTTTTGTGAATATGAAAACGAATACATATATTCGTTTATATTTTATTATATTAAATATGTAAATAATAAATGAATAAATATTCTAATATTAATTTTCATTACATTGTATATTCTGGAATTGCTGTCATCTATCGTTAATCCATTTTTTCAATAACTTCTGACTTATGTGAATCAAATCCCTAACAAAGATCAAAGACTTTGTTATTCTAGTTATTCTAAACCAATTAGGCTCTATAAGTCAGTGTATCTTTCTTCTCTCATTTTCCTTTTTGAGAATAGGTAAAGTCTCATTTTAATGTTTATCTGCTTTTAAACAACAGTTTAACGCCTTATATAAGGTACACTTCTTGACTGAATCTGTCCTTAGATCTCTGTGTAGATTACCATTTTTGACAGTATCCAGTAATCTCCTCATCTTCTACGTACAGTAATAAAAAATTGCGTAGATTTGTTGAAAAAATGATTAATTAATTTGCTTTAAAAGCAAATTACAGAAAAAAAGTTACAGAAAAAAAATATATCAAAATTTGAATAAGATTCAAATTTAGATATATTAAAATCCTCATTGGGTTTTAATCCAAAGTAGACCTACCCACTTTCTTTAAAAATCGTTGCTTTGTTCTACGAAAGAATTACCTTCCAAAATTAAAACACATTAAAATAAAACACCTAGTATATCAATCTACTATGACAGACAAAAATACGTACCAGTTTAGAAGGAATATAAACTATAAAATAATTTAAACGTAAATGTAATATTATTATGAATTATGAATATACATAATATATAGAGTTCTAGTAACCCTATTTTTTTTATTTTTATTTAGAAGCATTTAAAATTATGTTTGTGTTATGTAGGATTCTGTGCCGTCCAACAGCCACAAAACAAATAACCCTGAAAACTTTTTAGAATATCTAATCTCTGCGGGGAGAACTTTTTCGTCTATTTACTCGTATGTTATCCTTATAAACATTCCTATGAACATTGTTTGCAATCCATTTCACATATTTTACACAGAAAAACTAATAAATTGCATTTACTTTGTTCCACGTGTACAAAATGTGATTACTGAGGCAACTTTTTATATTAAACTTTATAATTTTGTAGGAAAAATGTGTACCTAACATATTATATGGTATATGCAGTAAACAAAAAGTAACTTTAAATTAGTTATTATGATATATATTAAATATTATTTAAGTTTATTATTTTATGATACTTTCTGTGATGTGATCCATGTATTATATTTGACGCAACAGGCGTGACAAAAAGTTTTAGGTTTAATATATAAAAATATCTTGAACAGGATTTGACTTTGTTTATCAACAAATTTTCCATAAACTCTAATAAAACTCTTTTAAGTTCTTTTTAAGATGTTTGCATATTTCTTAAATAACGATTTCACAATAGCTTTAATATAGGTCGTTTCCATTTCCTCATTTGTTGCTTTATTGAAGCTAAATCTATTTCTCCAGAACATTTTGTTTATGTTTACTAGCCGGTACTTCGTGACAGATATTGGAAATATGTTGTTGGGTGTAATATATATACAATTTAACCATAGTTGTCATTCATTTGTAACTTAACATTTGGAATTTTTCCAATTGTTCATCTTTTTTTAAAATGACTATTGAATGTAGGAACTATACCTTGGGTATCTCAAAATATCGAGACCCTATACTCCACTAGGTAAGAAGAACAGCAGTAAGAAAGTAAGTAACCTCAAAATATCACAACATCTACAATCAACAATTGTCTTTCTAGTGTTGCTTGTTGTGACATTGAAAAATGATCTGATATGCGTTAAAATCGATTTATTTTGATTGTGAAGCATTCCTAAGCCATATTTCGCATCTATGATTACACATTTCATAAAGAAAAAATTTATTTTTTAGCCAAGATTTAAAGCTTTTCTTTGTTACTTCAATTATTTAGTAGAAACATGTAGTTACTTAAATAACTTTAAGAAGAGGATTTATAACAATTTTATGTAGCCGTCACACTTACACACCCTTTGTCTATTAGATAATTTAGCAGACCCAATGGATCTTTTTAAATATAAGACAAATCTGATTTAAATACAATATATTTCAAAAAAATTCCAACGGCATAATGTCTAAAACTCAATAAAGAAAACTCAATTATTTAAATGTTTATAACTTAGCATTCTTATTTCGTAAGTCCAATTTACTAATTAAGATGTTTAATCTTAATGTGAGTTTCAAATTGACAAATACCGTTCAGTGACAAATTGTAGCGTCTAAAGTTCCTGATATATTTATTATTGTATTTTAAAATATTAATGACCGCTAATGCCAATATGAAAAGCATTACTAAATTATGTTAATTTGAATCTTCTGCCATTTACTTTGCAAAACACTTTTCAATGGAACCAAGTTTAGAAACTTCTAAATATTATTATAAAAATTCACAAAACCCATTTTTATAATCAAAAACTATTTGTGCAATTAAACTTCCCATAAGATTACTAAATTATTGTAATTTAGACTTCCCTTCGAAAGTGTAAAGTATTTAAAACGACCTTTAGCTTAACTATTACGACTAGTCACACAGAATGAATCAACACATTTTACTTTAAACACTTAAAATAAAATTAAACTAATAATAAAAAAAGAATTAACAAATTGAGAACTTTGTTTAAAATCGGTAGTGTCTGTCATACATTACGTCCCCTTGGACTTTGTCGAATCACCATCGGTGGTTAATAGCATCATTAAGCTTATAAGCATCTCTTTTCTAGCCCCTCACAAACGTTCGCTTCCATATAGGATTGTTGCATTAATGCATTAATGAGACACTTAAGTATGAAATTGCATTAAAAACTAACAACACACACAAAAAATCATAACAAAATTATAGTTCAGTAGACACAATGACATATCATTGTAAAGATACGAATATATGCGGGTATACCACTAGAGATCCACTAGAGAAACAATTGTTGAGCGCCATTTGGCGGCTTATTTATATGCGGAGAGGGCGAACTCAGCGTAATAATTTCTAACAAAAGCAACAATTGTAAAAACCCAACTACAATAACAACAACAAAGTAATTACACACTACAACAAATGTGCACTTTCATTGTTTACAATAACAATAGCAACAAATTAAATCAGAGCTTTGAAGTTAAATCCATACCGCTACACTCAGTGTGTTTAGTCTATCAGTTAAATGAGTTATAGATATTTTTTCAAAAAAATTTATGAATTATATTGATATTTTAATTACTTATACAATTTTAAATCACTGCTAAAGTCCAACTACTGCAGTCCAAAATAGAAGAAAAAATTCTCAATATAAGTCACTAGATCACTAAACATAAGTCAGCATTTAAAAATGTTGTTATGAATAATAATTGAATTTACTTTCTTTTTAATATATCTAATCTCCATTTAGTTATATTTCGTGCTTACGAAAATACTCCATAGTTAACAAAACTACATCATTATTGTTCATTTTTGCATATAATTTATGCATTTGTAATTTCTGTCTAGTACTTTTATGCTCCTTAACTTATCAAGCTCTCAGTTCAACTCAACTGAGAACTATACATAGTGAAAAAAAATAATTAAAATAAATTTATGCGAATAAAGTTACCAACAAAAGCAATGACAATACCAGAGCAAAATAATAATTGGCGAATAAAAATGTCATTATGTTTAAAAACTTTTTAGAAAAGTTTTGTGTAAATATTTTCAATTTTAATAAATGTATTAAGAACGCTCTATTTTGAAGACTCATCATTTTCGTTATACGATAGCATTCATTCTTTTGCCGAATATTTTTTGCCGTTCACTAAATTAATTAGATTTAACTTAAATACGTTCTTTGATTATAAACTATTATAAAACTAACTATTCTATGATTAGATTTGATATAGTTATCTCTCATAAATTTTTTCCATGTCTTTAACATTTTATTGTGAAAAATTTTGGATAATATTAGTACAAAAATATAAAAACAGAAATATCGTTTCATTTTTTATATAACACTCGAGATTAGCTCGAGATTAACACTCTAGATATTTTGCCGGAGTAGCAAGATTATCCTGAATTTAACAGCTGTTTTATATAATTGGGCAGATGAAGTGTGATTTTATTTTTTATATGTTTTATGGAAAATATAAATATGTACTAACAGAACAGAACTAGAAGAATACATAAATTAGTCAGTGAGAAGGGTTGGACTCTGCAGAAACCCGCCAGCTAAAAAAGATTAAAAGTGCCCAGATGCACTAACTCGGAAAAGACTCAATATGAACAACTAGATATTTGAGATTACTCTAAAAATATTCAATTGGACAATCTAGATCTAAAATAAATCTAGATTTAATCAATATTTATCAATCGAAAACGACATTAGTTTATGTTATGACTTTAAATGTAATATGCCTAAGTCCCACCAGTTACAGGTATTTGAGTAAGTTTCAACTCAAACTCATACATAATATTTATATATCGATGCTAATATCGATATATTATATATTAATATTTTCTGAGTTGTTTTCCTATCATTTTCACTCTATTCTTCTATATTATTTTATTTAACTCTTAAATGTATAATTACTTTCTCTTTCAGTCTCCGTTCACTAAAATATTTTTCGACAACACTGATAATTTACCATGCGTACACATAATCGGTTGATGTAGGTTATCACTGAGGTCTTCTCGACTTATAGCAGTGACTCATGTTTATTATTACTAAATTTGTTTAAAACAACAAACTGTTTCTACATATAAAACATTGTTGTTGTTATTTTTGTTGTTGTTTAACTTTAAGTTGGGTCTAAAGGTTTTTTTGTAATTATTGACTTAGTTATTCAGTTTATCGGTTGAATTCGCAACGGTTGGTTCAGAAAATATGAGCACTCATTGCTTTAGTTAATTTCAAATACCGTAGGAATTTCCGATCTAATTGCAAAGTCATGTTTACCGGGTTAAGTGGGAGTAGAGGCAACAACTTTAGCTGTCCGTACACCAGAAAAATGTTGCTGAAACGTTTGCGCGCTAAGCATTCCAAAATACAACAACAACTCGAAACAAAAATTGACGAAATCGCAGAGGTCGGTTTGTGGTGTTGTCAATAAAAATTATAGTAAACCTTGACGCATTCAGTTCAGCAATGCCAGTTCAGTTGACCTTGTCACTGGATATGACGATTTTGTTGCAATTAGTATTTGTGCAACAAGAGCCCAGCAATTTGTTGTTGTTCATTGTTTGTGTAAAATTTCTATTGTTTTGATTGCAGCACTTTCAACGCAATTCCAAATTGGCAGAGTCATCGAAACGGCTGAAATCACAGATTTGGAGTTCAGTGGTCACGATTTTGTTGGTCAAAGCGAAAGACTTGCCATTGGCGGAAGATGGAAGCAAGCTTAATGATACGCACATTAAATTTAGGTAATTAAATAAATAAAATGCTTGTTAATAAATTAAATTTAATTAAATTATAATTAATTAAATTAAAATTAATTTAAATAAAATAATTTAATTCACAAATTAAAATTATTTAAATTTTTACGAAAACACTTAATTTTTGCACAGACTCGGTAACGAGAAATACAAAAGTAAGTCTTCCTGGACGGAACGTTGGCTTGAACAATTTGACTTGCATCTCTTCGATGAAGATCAAAGTTTAGAAATTTCTTTATGGAACCGGAATACACTTTATGGTAAGGCAAATGTTGATCTCAGTGTATTCGAACGCGAGAATACACATGGCATTTGGAAGCCATTCGAAGACTGCCCTGGTGAAGTTTTCCTAATGTTAACTATAAGCGGCACAACTGCTCTGGAAACAATAAGTGACTTGAAAGCATTCAAGGAAGATCCACGAGAGGCTAAATTGTTGTTCGATCGATATCGTTGGCATCGCTGTTTACAAAATTTACGCGATGTTGGACATTTGACAGTGAAAGTTTTCGGCGCCACGGGCTTAGCAGCAGCCGACATTGGCGGCAAGTCAGATCCATTTTGTGTGTTAGAATTGGGGAATGCACGATTGCAAACACAAACCGAATATAAAACACTGACACCAACATGGAACAAAATCTTTACATTGTAAGTTTTTTAAATAACCTATTTGTAATATTATCAGAGATAAAAAGAAACAAGTAGTTAGAAAGAACGCATACATATTGTTTCTAAGAAGGAAATGTGATTAATCCTGTATACTATATAATACTGTATATAATACCTTTACAAAAATATTTCTTTGTAAACAATGAAATGTCTTGTAGAGTAATGTAGAATTCTTCTACGAATGGTAAATCTGATAAATTTAACACGTTTTAACTTGCAAAACTAGTTCGTAAACGCCTTTTAACACAATGTAAATGTAACTGGAAATAATTTTTGTTATTTACTATGTCACATATTTGTTACCAAGACCATATGATTTTGGACCATTATTGAAGCTCAAATGGGTTTTGGCGTGCAAGGCCACCAGTCCAACCTATCACGAATGTTCTCTAAGCAGTAAAAACCATGGATACTGCTTCTTATAAAAGTGCTTCTGTTAAGTTTCACCGTTAGTCATGATGTATTAATTTTCGATTTAACCCAAACTATTCCAAAATCTTATCAAAAATATGAAAATTTGCAAGCATTTATTTAAACACAGTAAGCCATTCTTAATAACTAGCATAAAAGTTAACCTGCTTTTAGCCCATGGGTGACACTAAGTATATTGATTTCTTTTAAGTAGAAATAAGAAAGATGACATCTTAATCCTTTTAAAAATTCAATACATGGTAATATCCAATTTGCTACTTTAAAAGCTTTAATGTAAATATACTCCTTGACCACTAGAGCAAGAAATGACTCTTTTGACGTCATTGAACGTTTTTCAATAGATGCGTTATAAATATTATCTAAGGAAAATGACACATTAATTCTTTATAGTAAAATCAAATACATGGTAATATCCAATTTATCAGTTCATTAAATCATACTAAGACATCCTTGAACAGTAGTACGAAAACTCCGCTGTTTTTAGTCAATAAAAACTACTTAATATAAAGCTTTATTTTAAATAGACGCATAAGAAATATCTTCTAAAGGAAGGTTATACAGTAATACTTAGCAGTATCACCTATTACAGTTATATTTTTCAATTTGATGGCACTGAAAAAGTTTTTCCACAGAGAACAGCTTATTTTAACACGGTCGAGTTAGGATTATTATGTAGTACATATAGTATAACTATATCTATGACATATAATTTAGCGGCGTGAATTTCAAATATATGAGGAGTTCTGTGACTGATAATAGTCACAGGTATTAGTCTGTCTTAGTCTAATTAGCCTAATACTGTACACATTAGTATGCAAATAAAACAATATCTCAATAGTTATCTTGTGTGGTATACATCTACAATAAGATACAAACGACATATATACATTAAATTAATTTAGCTATTTTAAAATTTATCATATGGAACCACTAAGACACATTTATTACCATTAAAAATGCATACCTACCTATCCATTTACCAGTTTTTTATTTATTATATTTAACCAAAATAGCAAAAAATGTTAAATTATTTATTTATTGCAATTATTTAATTAAATTGTCGGATTTGTCAATTTCTTAATTTGCTTCAAGTATTCGACAATTGGTTGAAAGGCGTTTTCAATATAGAAAAGTATTGTATGTAAAGTAAGCAAAATTTCCTTACTGGACTCGATTACGTATTTTGTTATGTTTTTATCTAAATCGTGCGTAATATTAAATTTTCACTCCGAATTCAATTTATAACTGATACTTTTGTGTAACAGCAACGTCAAAGACATAACGCAAGTGCTCGAAATCACTGTCTACGACGAAGATCGTGATCACCGCGTAGAGTTCCTAGGAAAACTGGTCATACCGCTGTTACGCATCAAAAGCGGTGCTAAACGCTGGTACACACTTAAGGATAAAAATTTATGTGTGCGCGCCAAAGGCCTTTCCCCGCAGGTGAGCTGCACATATTTTTCAGTTACAAAACGAAGTTAATTGCCTAAAATTGGTTTTATTTGATTTACAGATTTTACTTGAAATGACGGTTGTCTGGAATGAGGTGCGTGCAATCTGTCGTGTCCTACAACCGAAAGAGGAGAAACTAATTCAGCAGGAAGCAAAATTCAAACGACAACTATTTCTGCGGAACGTCAATAGACTCAAAGTGATAATTATGGACATTTTGGATGCAGCGCGATATGTGCAGTAAGTGTTACCGGCTTGTGTTACAGATAAACTCACAAATTGTGTTCATAAATTTAAAAAAAAACCCCATTCACATTTGGTTTATTTTTGTACTTCACAGAAGTTGCTTTGAATGGGAGTCACCGCTGCGTTCCATCATTGCATTTGTCTTGTGGATACTCGCTTGTGTTTACGGAAACCTAGAAACTGTGCCATTTGTGCTGTTGTTATTAATTTTAAAGTTCGTTTTTTTTAAATTAATTTTCTTTCGCATCTGACTTTTTTCAAAATTTCATAGAAAATGGCTCATACGTCTTATAACTGGAAGTGCAGCTGACTCCACAGCCGGTCACTACGACTACGATTACGATGAAGATGACGACGACGACAAAGAAAAAGAAGAGAAGAAATCCATAAAGGAACGTTTACAAGCGATACAAGAAGTGTCGCAGACTGTACAAAATACCATTGGTTACTTGGCATCTTTAGGAGAGAGTACCAAAAAGTGAGTACCAATATATGTAAAGAAAATATGTCATCCACATTATTAAAAATTTTTTTTTATAGCACATTTAATTTTTCCGTCCCTGAATTGACCTGGTTAGCAGTGGTGCTCTTAATTGGTGCCATAGTAGTATTACATTATATACCAATGCGTCTTATATTGCTCTTTTGGGGCATTATGAAGTTTTCCAGGCGCATATTGCGTCCAAATACAATACCAAATAATGAATTGTTAGACTTTCTTTCACGTGTACCAGACGACGAGGAAATTGTAAGTAACTTATCAATACCATTTGAGCTTTTAAATCTTAAACTGTTAACTGTTAAATATCCATAGAATCAATATCGTGAACTACCACCATCAGCGCCCACCGATCAGACACGTAGCAATCCCAAAAAGAAAGTCAAAGCTTCATAGTCCATTGCCAGTGTGGATGTTAGTGGTGCTCTACAAGAGTTCTCGAACCCAACAACCAGCAGCAGTAGCGCTATTGCGGCTGTGAACGCAGCAGCTGTCTTGCCGCAACAAGTCGTTAATATCTCCACACATTCTATGAGGAATGTGTCTTCAATGTTCAAGGCGAGCAAGGAAAATCTCAAATCGGCGGCGAAGAAGAAATTTAGTAAGGCGTACAACAGAAGCCTCAAGAAACTAAACTAAATATAACGGAACGCAATTAAACTAGTTAAATTATTTTACAATCAATCAATTCTCAACTCAATTATGCACCTTAAACGGCTCACTTTTAAAGTTACTTCAATGAATTAAAGTTAAAATAAATTATTTTAGGCTAAATTTAGTACTCAAAGCTACAAACTATTTACACTCAATTTTTATGAAAGTCCACTTTTGCTGTATATACACAAAATATTTTTTTAAATCGTTTTGAACCTCATTAATTATAACAAAATATAGATATTGTAAAATTTATTTATTTAATAAATTCGTGTATTTGTGATATTTTCAAAGAATTACCATATATTTATACAAAAAAAATATTGAAAATCAATTATTTGAAGCTTAATTCGAACTCAATTGCATCTAAATTAAGTTTGAAAATTTACTTTTGCCTTTTCGATTTTAATTGTTGCCTCCTCTTACTTAATTCAATTAATTCAATTAATTACTTAATTAATATAGAATATTTGTAGATAGAAAAATTTAAATTAAACAAATCATTATACTTGTTAAACTAATTATATATAAATATCGGAAGCTAAGAAATATTGTTTAAAATCTTTTTTAATAAATTTCCTAATCAAACAAACAAACTAGGATTAATTATTTTATTATTTAAAAACAAAATACTTAGTAGATATGGATATGGACTATGCAACTAATTAAGAATTTAATAAATTGTACATCTTTTTTATTGTTAATAAATTCAGTTTTTCCTAATGAACAGATCTTTGCGGTTTATTTAATAAGAATGCATCTCTGTTGAAAAATCTGGAAATAGGTATATAAAATTCAATTATTTTTAAGTCAATTTTAACGAAATGAAACTACTTTTCTAATAGAATTGTTTTTTGAATAATAGTTAATTACATCAACCCTAATAGGTTACTAAAACAACAACAACAAAATTTTATTGTATAATTAATTAAATTCTAAATCTATGTTGAATACTATGTAATATTCACCATCAATGGTCTTTGGAAATATTCATTGTTCTTATAAGTCCTCATATAATCTTAGAATACAAGTGCTTAGGACTCTGAAGTTGTCACATTAGAAGCAATTACTTTTACATGTTTTAACCGATAGAGCCAAATCTATAAAATACTTTGGTTGTTCAAATTTTAGGCTTCATTTTACCTTCATATGGATGAATATGTAACAAAATACAAAAAATATTCATAACATCACAGAACCACCAAAATTAAATACAACTAACATAAAAGTCTATAATATCAATATAAAATGGACTAGCAATGTAGGATGTGGCTATATAACGCTAACATGAAATAAAGGCTTCTCTGTTAATGGCATTAGGTATATTCTTAGCAGAGATGACTAAATATCTTTAAAACATACACCTTTCACATTTATATTTAATATTATAAATGAATTATTGAAGTTATAATATGTCGGAAATGCAATAGAACCATGCGGACGGACTTATAACCCGAATTATTGGATTATATAGATTTAGTATTACTTGAATAAAGTGTTTAAAATAAATTATAATCTTCCATGGTACTAAAATACCATGGAATAAATAGTGTTGTAGTGTAATTAGGTCTTCAAGTCTCTAATCTTATATTCTTTTATTATAGACGTCCAATAAATGTTCATTATCATTTCATTGAAACACTAAAATATATAAAAAAAAAGTCTTTTAATTTGTATTTTAAAAAATATTAAAATTTTATTATTTTAGAACAGTTTTAGAATCACTAAGACGTTTCAAAGAATAAGAATATTTCCAATGCACGTAAAACTATCGATTGGGGTTACCATCCGAGCATACTAAAATATGTGACGAAAATAATATATTAAATAAAATCAATGTTTTATTTTAATTGAAGTGGTTATGATATATATTCATAAACAAACATCTCAACCATGGGCGTACACGGGTAGGGGCAGGGGGGAGGAATCGCTCGCCCCCCTACATTTCAAAATGTTATTATTGTTTTGAATAAAAATTTAATACTGTTTACAAGAAGAGTTTAAAATTTGTCTTTGTGAACAAAATCTAATTTTCAAGTTTTCAATGAACTACGGGTGAAATATACTAGCTAATATAAGCCAAAAAGATAAAAAAGAAAGTACTAAAGAGGGGTGCCTTAGCATACTTTAAAATATATAATAATATCAGGTACGCCCATGATCTTAACAAACCCTACAATTCTGCAAGTTCGTTGTTTTTCAACTTATCAACTTACTACTAAAAAGTATATTCTAAAATGTGTTTCCACAGAATTATTTCCGCGAAATTTTAAAAATTAATACTGAATCAAAATTTTAGAGAATATATTATATATATATATTATATCTACAATAATTAACAGGTACACTATGTTAATACTGTTGCGAAGATACAATTAAATTTAAGTAAACTGAGATAATTTTGAATAATGTCAGTTAGTTAGGAAATAAGTTTTTAAATATGGTTGGTTATTTTGATGAATAAAGTGTGTTTGTTTCAAAATATAAGTAACGGTTATAATAAATACAAGTTCAACATAAGTTACTTATCAGGATCCAGTGTTATCGAACGAAGCGTGGGAATAATCGTAACAATACTATTTAACATGACTCTGCAGTTTATCATGATAAATTTCAATGGTATGTCTTATATTACCATATACTAAATACTATTTCGAAAGAGATGATATATGTATGATGTGCAAAAACGACAATACCATCATTAGATGCTCAAGATAATTTGAAAAATCAAAGTATTAACTATTACAGCATTTCCATTACTTTGTAATAAGCTTTGAAAAGCAAAATAACTATACTTTACTATAATATAAAAATTAAATTTTGAAATACTTGTTTAAAAGTATTGAGAAGATAATGATTAAATGATTTGCTGCACACGTAAATTACTTGAAAAATAATGGATTGATTGCTGTATGACTAAAATCAATTTGGTAATATCTGAGCAATAGTTGCAGCATGTATTAAATATTATTTTATTTACCGAAAACATCGCTGGTAAAGTAAACAATCAATATCCCAACATATTGCTTTTGTTAGTTTTACTCTCCTTGGTAAAAACCATATCTTTCTAAATGCTATAAATTTCAGCACTCATAAGATACTTTTTTTAAATTTCTAACATGCTAAATTGCTTCCATTTCCTTTCCTTTTCATTCAACACCATTAAAAGTTAGGTTTAGTATCAATATTATTATCATTAAGAGAGGAGATGTGTAAGCAAATATCCTTCCACTTCGCATAAATAGATTTATGGATATCAATATCCATATCTTAGGCTATCTATATCCGTAGGATTTTTTAAATATTGTATTTAGAAATTTAACAGATCTTTTATCCTCACCAATAATTATAAAAATTCTTGCAGTTTTATGGGTTACCAAGGTTTGGTCTTGTTATGTGATGGTTAGAGCAAGCAGTTATATATAACATAACTGCCTTCATGGCATTTTAAATAGGCTAAAGAAAACAGAGGTAAGTACTTTGCTTGACGGTATATAGGGTATAGATTAACATAGATTAATACAAGAAAAGATAAGTCTACCATAGGTGAGAACGACGTCAGATCTAATCGTCTGCGTTTCCATTGCACTCATTGTTCCAATATCCAAAAACCCTAGCTAGTCGACTTATTTAATTTCCGCTCTACATATTTTGAATAACTTTGATTTTATGATGATGGTTTGAGAGAAAATGTTTTGAATTCCGCTTGGTTGATTTTGATGTGACTTGAAATTACGCGACAGTCCTTCGTCATCGCAATAACTTTAACCTGAAAAATCATTAAATTAACTACCTTAAACAAGATGTTTAATACTTCTACTACCACCACCACTTTTCCTACTAGATGAAGTGTTTCATCACCGAGTATGGTTACATATTAATTCTAGGCTGTTGAAGATATACAAAAGCCTGTGTACACAACATATTGAATTTTACTTGCCTCCATTTTGTCTCCTAAGAGGGATCCATTCGATTCATTTCTTGATTCAACTACAACAATTTTTTTATTCCAATTACTCATATTTATTTTTGTGTCAACTTGACTCCTTTGCCCGAATTATTTTCCATTGGTAGTACTCTCCGAGAACATTTTTTTATTTTTGATTTATGACCTACATGAACACTAAACAGATTATTTTTTATCACATCAAATATATTTTCCAGCTTATCTTTCAATCTATATTTTTGCTTGTTTTCCGATTACTATCATTAAAAAATGTTATGCAATTACGTACTCAGGCAGACAAATAAGAAATCCATCATGTTTATACAGATCTACAAATATATAGATAACTGATAGAAAATTGAATGCAACTTTTATGTTTTTCTATGTTTCAATCAGTTTTATAAAATATATTATTTTCTTTTGAAAAAACTCGTTGAGCCGATAAAAACTTATGTCATAACTATTTTTGTGAAAAAATTTTTAGTACAAACTTTTAAATATATATGTATATATATATACATATATGTTACATATAAGTTGCTATTGTGATTATTGTGACTATTACCCTTGGAGTATTTGCATAAGTATGCCTCAAAGGTAGATAAAGTATAGAATAGATAAATTTTATGTTGTTAGTGGCAAAGTGAGAGGAAATATAGATTTCCTTTTTCTAGGCATCATTCGTAAAAAATGATTTAAATATTTGAAATAATTTCAATGGCGAGTAAATTCTTTATATTACATCAGTATATGAGACTCTGGACCCCATTTATCACGCAATATGGTTACTAATAAATAGTTCGTAAATCAACTAACCATGACAGCTAAAATGTAATATTTTAATTGTATCTTATCCTCTTAAAACACACGAAGGAAAAATTTTAAAAGCCATAAAATAAATAAATTAAATAAATTATAATTAATAATTACTCCTCTTTCCATACTCAAGAACTAAATTTATTAATCAATACTATCATTCCATAGAGACTCTATAAATAGTCACAACACTACACATTAAAAAAAACATAATTTCTAATTTAAATTTACTATTCACAACTTATGAAGATCCAATCTCTGAAGAAGTAAACCAAAAATATATGGAATTATGATTTATTTATTTTTTTTATAAATTTATACTCGCATAATTTTGTATCTAAATTGCAAATTACAAGTAACTGAATGCATAAATTAATAGAGACATTCCTCTCACTGTTCTACACATTAGTCCACGTCATTATTTATAAATTATAA